TTTTTTCCCTCTGCAAGATCCGTGCAGTTGGGTTGGTAGAGCTGCCTTTTATTACTTCTTGTGGGAACTAGTGTGCCCTGTTTGTTTCTACCGTGAAAGGTTTCTTAATCCTCAGGTGTCTTGCAAAGCAGAATTCCTACATTGCAGGTCAGTGGTTGTCTGTCAACACACCACGGGCAAGTGGCATTTCTGATTGAAAATGCCCAAGAATGTTGATCACAAATTTTCCTCTGGTCGTTACTGTTCTGTTGTGTTGATCACTTGCCATTTATGAGGTTAGGAGCCTTAACTACCATTGGGCAAATGATTTGCCCCATTCATATACTCTGCAGCAGGGCTGAAAAGTAGCTGCCTCACAGAAGGGGGCCGATGCCCCGAGCGGCTCTCTAGGGTTTTTAGTAGGTGGTCCCTGGATCCCTGTCCTGTGACAGTATCAGCAGTCCCTGTGCTGTGGGTGCTTCTGCACCCACCGTTTACCTTCATCCCTGACTCCCAGGTGGGAGAGGGGCATTGGCCCAGTTTTACCTACAGACGTTCAGGGTCGCTTTAAAAGTAATTCTGTGTTTAGCTGAAATGTGCTAAACGTTTCCCAAACACTAGCACTTGAACTGACTTTGTGTCCTCCCTGAGCCTTTGTGTAAACTTGTGGTTGTCATGGAGGATCCATGATGGCCTCGATCACGCTTTTGATATCCCTGCAGGTGGTCTGTCTGGAGAGAGTCGCTAGTGAAACGGGCGCTGCCTCCCAGGCCAGTGTCCGCCTCACGTCGCTTAAAAAGACGCTGGCTGCCACGCTGTCGCCCCGCGTCTTCCTGCCAGCTGTCAACAAAACCTATGAGCACATTGAGAAGAACTGGAAGGTTAGATCATACGGGCTCTTAGGCTTTGGGGAGGGGAGAGTCGGTACCGAAACCTTCACATTTCACTTAACGAAGAATATGGTTATTTAATTCCTTTAAAAACGCATTGCGGAACTCTAGGAATAGTGGAAAAGGGCACCTCTCGATTGTGTTGTTGGCAGAATCACATGGGCCCGTTTATGAGCATCCTGCAGGAGCACATCGGGGCGATGAAGAAGGAAGAGCTCACCTCCCACCAGGCTCAGCTCACCGCGTTTTTCCTGAAGGCCCTGGACTTCCGAGCACAGCACTCTCAGGTACTCTCATCTCTTAATTCCCCGAAATCTGTTTAAAAACCAGAGGATAGAGCTGTGGAAGAGTTGTGTCTGCCAGAGTAACTGAGAGTTAGATGTGAGTGCTCTGGCTAATAAATCCACTCTTGTATTTTCAGAATAATCTGGAAGAAATTGGGAAAACGGAAAACTTTATCGTTGACTGTCTAGTGGCCATGGTTGTAAAACTCTCAGAGGTCACATTCAGACCCCTGTTCTTCAAGGTGAGGCTTTCTTCCTCTACGTCTGCTTTGTGCTCAGATTAAGTGACAGGATGTGTAGAAGAGACTAACACCACGTCATCCTTCTAGCTGTTCGATTGGGCTAAAACAGAAGATACCCCAAAGGACAGACTGTTGACATTTTACAACTTGGCGGATTGCATTGCTGGAAAACTGAAAGGGCTCTTTACTCTGTTCGCTGGCCACCTAGTGAAGCCATTTGCCGACACCTTGAACCAGGTGAACATCTCCAAAACAGGTTGGTAGCTTGCTGCAGCTCAGCTGACACGGCTCTGTGCGCCTTACCCAGGGTACAGTAAACACATGACCTAGTGCTCACAGGCGAGGTTCTGAAGGTTCTTGAATTCTAGGTTAAGGAGGGAGAATTCTTACTTTATTGTTGTCAGACATTGAACTGTTTGTTTTTGCACAATGAAAAAAATGTTACTAGCAAGTTGGCTCACTTGGTAGAAAGAAGGAAGTAAATAGGCTTTACTCTCAGTTATTGGAAGTAACTTTAAAACATTAAAATTAAGATTGGTTTATTCTCCAATGCTTATAAGCAACGCACTTGATAGTTGAGAGAATTTAACTTGCCAGACTGAACATTAGAATCTTAACAGCCCGGGGCCGGCCCGGTGGCGCACTGGAGAGTGTGCTGCTTGGGAGCATGGCGGCGCTCCCGCCGAGGGTTTGGATCCCATGTGGAGACCGGTTC